TGTAAGGGCAAGTAAATGGGTCTGCCTGCGTTGTACACAAGGCAGACTTCTCCAGAAGAAATTGCTTTCCACCCGTGCTACAGCTGATTCTTGGAGGAAAAGCAGGAGTCGGGGTGAGAGGGTTAAACGAGCATGTGCAAAGGCCCTGAGACAGGAGTGTGGCTGTGGTCCCTGCTAGAACCTCAGTGGTCCCTCTCCCTGGGGCATTGGGAGAAAGGGCCACAGTGGCCCTACAGGCCTATGTACCGTGGGATGGTTGTTCCAAGGATGCTGGGAACCATAAGAGAACGTGAGCTATGAAGCATTTCCATTTGATTATGTTCATTGCTCTCCAAGACTGACTCATTATTCCTTTTCAGACTGTGAGCACGGGCCGATGCTCTGCAGACAGAGAGGAAGGGACACTTCACTTAGCCCGCCAGAAGTGATCAGAGAGGACAGAGGAAAGCTTCTGGTTATCCTCATTAAGTTCTCCTTAGCACACATGCCAGATTCCGACTCTAATTCTTTCCAGGAATCTGAGTGCATGAACACCCCATCCTTTTAGGGAAGTATAATTTTCTTATGGCTTTAGCCTCTGAATCTCCGGTTGCCAACTCACTCCTGTGAGGTCAGGAGGGAAATGATGGTTCAAATTTTATTCTTCCATGGGAGACTCAAAGTTCACCATCTGCGTACAGGCTAGGATACTGACAGGGTACAAATGAGACCAGGTGGGAAGGATACTGATATTTCCTTATTTGGCCCCTGGTGGCCATTGGTGGTGGTAACCAGTGATGTCAGTTACAGACTGTCAGGTAAGGAGCCAGGCATATTCCAGCACTTGGAGGCAGAGACAAGCAGATCCCTGTGAGTTCAAGGCTAACCTGGTCTACAGTGTGGGTTCCAGGATAGCCAGAGCTACATACACAGAGAAACCCTGTCTCAAAAAATAAACCCCTCAAAAACCAAACCAAACCAACCAAACAGACAAACAAAACAAAGAATGTCAGGTGAGATAAATATCTCTCCTGGAGAGCCATCCTTGGCAGGGGTTGGGTTACGATGGGCGGATGTGCATCCAAAGAGTGTGGAGGACAAGAAACTAGACAGCAATACGTAATTTCCGCGTGAACAAATATCACTTGCGAGTGAATCTGCCCAGCTTCCATGAAGAGAAACAGAAGCTCAGGAGTCCTAAACCCTTAAATAAAATTGCCCATTCACTTTATTTTGGAGACAGTCTCTCTATGTAGACCTGTCAGCTCTGGAATTCTCTACGTAGCCTAAGCTGGGCACGAATTCAGAGATCTCTCGGCACAGGGCTTATCTGTAGCTTTGGATCTTGGAACTAGCTCTTGTAGACCAGGCTGGTCTCGAACTCACAGAGATCCTCCTGCCTCTGTCTCCCGAATCTGGGATTAAAGGCTTGTGCCACCACCGCCCGGTTCGCACCTGGCTTTTTTGTTGTCTCTTTTACACAACTGCTAATGTAGCCAAGTCTAGCAAAGATAACCTTGAACTCATAATTTTTCACTTCAGTCTTCTTCCCAAGTGCTGAAATTACAGGCTTGTATTCTGCCTGCAGTTTCTGTGATCCTGGGGATCTACACCAGGATTTCACACATCCTAGGAAAGAACTCTACCAATTGAGCTACAGCCCAAACCCTATTCCAGCACTTTCTATGTACCCTTCTGCTGGGAGATGGCGAGAAGGCACAAAATGAGGGGGCCCACGCTTTTGGGGGGTATCCTGGGGTCCGATTGCCAGGCTGTGTTGAGACAGTTAGGCCTGAAGTGCACTCTGCGACGCTGGGACTCCCAGCTTCACTTTTTCAGATCTAGGGCCCATCTATCCTGAATCATTCCGGGCTGCGATCCACCGGAGGAGGATGGGGAGCATGCGTCGTGCGCCTCAATTTCCCAGCGCACACCCTCCCAGGAACACAGTAACCGAACTTCAGTCTCAGCCAATTCTCTGCCGCCGCCCTAAGGTCTGAACCATTCTAGGAAGAAGGAGCGACAGTGAGGGGCGCACAGGTGACTGGTCCTAGAGACACCATCTATGGAGACAACCCTGGGATATCAAGGGAACAAAATGGGCTTCTGGTGAGGGGTCACATTTGTGGTCACAGCCCTCGCCGTGTACCGGAGCCTCTGTCCCCGATATCCTGAGTCCCTCTCCCCCCCGCCGCACACTTGGTTTGCTCCACCTCTTGAGCGAGTAGGGCTGTGCGCACGGCCCCAAACGCAGACTTTTAGGTCCTCGTTGCTCTTGGGTCGGGTCCTCGCGCTGTGCGGGGAAGCGATCTGGAGCAATGGCGCTCGCTGTTCGAGTTGTGTATTGGTAAGTCTCGCTGACTACAGACCCCTCCCCCCAATTCTCTGTTCTCGGCCCTTTGTGCCTGGAACTCCCTTCCTAGCTCCCCATCTTTTGTGCCCTTCCTTGCTCCCCAGCCTTTCTGCCAGGGACTGTGTACGGTGACTGCACCCCAGACCCCACCATAGGGAGGAACTTCCAAGTGGGTGGGGTGGAAATAACAAAGCCTCGAGCCAGATTTCCCGCATCTGAGAGCTGGGGCCTCTCACCCTGTGTGAGTGGAAACTGATGCTTGGGTTCTTTTGGTCATCTGACTCAGCGCTGAGGGGAGGGGAAGGGTAGCATCGGATTTCTCTGGGGACCTTTGCCTGTCGACAGGCGGTTTCCCTTCCCCCTTTCTGAGCAGCACCGGATTAGAGAAGGCTGGATGGAGGCTATTCTGCGGGGTATAGGGAAGGCTCGGATACATGGTGTCGTGGTGGGTTGGCATATAAGCGCTGTCGGGAGCTCAGGGGATGCCCTGTATCTGCATTGTAGTGCGAGTTACTGTTGCTCACCCCTGCTAGTGTGTACCTGAAAAGGGACGAATTGAGCCACGGAGGGGTGGTGGTGGTGCACACCTTCAGTCACAGCAGAGGCAGGTGGAACTCTGAGTTCCTAGTCAGCATAGTCCCCTTAGCCAGGTCCAGGCAACCAGGACTACATAGTGAGACCCTGTCACCAAAGGTGAAAAAGGGGTCGTGTGGGGTGGAAAATAGACGTGAGGATGTAGCTCAGTGGTCGAGCTTTTGCCTGGAATTCGCCAGGCTCTGGGTTCAGTTCCCATCAATAAAAACAAACAGGATAAAACAACTCTTCCTGGCCTCTGATGAGTGGGTGCTGGTGCTGTTGACCCCACTCCTTTTCTGGCCCTAGTTCCCCTTCTGTAGTGTGAAGAGGGTGATGGTGGCAGTTAACCTGTCAGCAACTCGAATTGTGCCCTGCTAGAGGCGGGCACAGAAAAAAAGGGCCCGCCTTTTTTCTTGATTTTTTTTTTCTTCTGCAGCTAATACTCAGCCAGCATGCAGTAAGTGATTAATAAGTGCCTGCTGGATGGATTCCCTACCTCTGAAGGCCCTTGAGGGAGGGATAGCTATCTCCATTTTACAGAATATGAAACCCAGGCTGGGAATGAAGCAGGCCTAGTTTGAGGTCCTACTCCAGATGGCACTATAACTCGAATCTGGGTTTCCTGGTCCTCTGTGTGGTCCTCTCATCCGCCTTGAGGGCTCTCTGATCAGTCCCAATTTTCGGGATGTTTTTGAAAGCCTGCTTTGATGCATTGCTCCCATGAGGCCACTGCACCAGATTCCAGGCCCGAAATGGCCTGTAGGGTAGGGGTGCGTTGGAGCTGAGGAGCTTGTGTCTCATACTGGGTGCTGGGGAGAGTTGGGATTCCTGAGTGACAGCCAGGCGGGGAGTGGGTGGATGAGATTCTATGGAGGCAGCTTTTGTCCTAATTCACATCCCTCTGTCATCTCCGTGCCCCGCTGCCTCCCCTCCTCCTCTGGTCTCTCTTGTTTGGTGCTGGCTTTCTGTGTATGTCTCTGCACTGTTACCCATCTCTTGTGTAATATCTATCTTCCCCTTCTTGTGGGCCCTTGCCACCTCCCCTGCATTCTCATCTGGATCTCTCTTTATCTGTCCCTGCGCCTCTTTGTCTCGCCCATTGCCTGCCTTGCTGTCTTGGATCCATGCTGCCCTGGTGGGCTGTGACAACCCTGGATTCACCTACCAGTGGAGCTTGAGGCTACAAGCCCAAGGTGAGTGACGTTTCTCAGGAGTGTCTTGAAGTCTTGAAGTAGGTGAGGATGGGCATATGGCTCTGACCCCCCCCCCCCCCCCGTTTCAGTATCTCCAGCTCAAAGAGAAGCTAGAACATGAGTTCCCCGGATGCCTGGACATTGTGAGTCTTGGAATGGGGATGGAATTACACGGGTTCCTTTTTTTGTCATTTGGAACTGGGATGCAGTGTGGGTGGGTTAGGCCAGTCTTTTGACTTATATTCTTCATTCCCTGGGACTTGGCAGGGAGGGTATGCCTAAGAGGACATCTAAACCCCCTCTAACTCCTCTTTTCCTCAGTGTGGCGAGGGGACTCCCCAGGTCACCGGGTTCTTTGAAGTGACAGTAGCAGGGAAGTTGGTTCACTCCAAGAAGGTAAATCCGTCTCGTAGTGGGGCGGGGGGTCACATGGCTATGGCCTTGGTGTGTGAGACCTAGCTCTACCCTCTCCTCTGTTCTCTCTTCAGAGAGGTGATGGCTACGTGGATACAGAAAGCAAGTTTCGGAAACTGGTAGCCGCCATCAAAGCTGCCCTGGCTCAGTGCCAGTGAGACCTGGAGGCAGGGGTAAGGGAGTTGCTGGGAGATGGGGTACCATCTTGGGGTGTTGTAACTGCCCCTGTGTATGGACTCTCAGAGCGGAGAGTGAGAATGGCCACATCCCAGAGTCCCTAGAGCCAGGAGGGATCACACCTAAGGGGTCACAGAGTGGTACTGTGGAGGTGATGAGGACAAGGGGCTGGCCTTAAGTGGCCTTCTTGATCCTGGAATGGAAGATGCTAAAGGAAGTCAGGTTTGTGGTTGAGGATGTGGTTTAGTTGGTGGAGTGCTTGCCTACCACACAGGAAGCTCAGGGTTCCATCTCCAGCACTCCATAGAGCAGGAATGAGCACCTCCTGAGTCCATGCCTGAATAAATCAAAACAGTGGCGCTGGAGATATGTCTCTGTGGTTAAGAGCACTGGCTGCTCTTGCAGAGGACACGGGTTCAATTCCCAGTGCTGATGAGGTGGTTCACAGTTCCAGAGAATCTAACATCCTCTTCTGGTCTCTGAGGGTACTGCACACACATGGTGCACAGACATACATGCAGACAAACACTGCATACATATAAAACATAAAACAAAAGAATGGGCATTGTGGGGCAGCCTGTGATCTGAACATTTTGGAAGTAGGGGCAGGAGGATCAAGAATTCATCCTTAAGATGGATTCTTATTCAGTCCTAAGAATCCTCCTTAGCTACACAGTTAGTTTGTGCGGAGGTGGTTTGGGTTAAGAGTGCTTGTTGCTCTTGCCAAGAACCTAGGTTCGATTTCCAGCACCACGCTGGGATTTACAATAATTCCAACTCCAATTCAAGGGAATCTAATGTACTCTTTCTGACTTCCATGAGTACCAAGCACTCAGGTTCTTACACGCAAACACTGACAGGCAAAATGAATAAATATAACAACTGCTTAAGATCCCTGGCAGTTTGGCCCTGGGTTGCCTTTGTCCCTTTGACAGGAAACAGGTTTTAATGCATTGATTTTATTTATTTATTTAGGTTTATTGAGATAGTTAATAGCCCTGGCTGCCCTGCGACTTGAATTGCAGACCAGGCTGATCTTGAACTCTCTCTATATAGTGCTGGGAATAAAGGTGTGAACCACCATTGCATGGCTTTTTTTTTTTTTTTTTTGGTACTAGGAGTTGAACTGTGCTTCATGCATGCTAGGCAAAAGCTCTACCACTAAGCCACACCCCCAGTCCCTCACTAGGGGATTCTAGGCAGGGGCTCTACCAGAGTAAGTCACACACAGGGGGTTCTCAGCAGGAGCTCTACCCCTCAGCTACCTCTATTTGAGACAATTCTGTCTGGTTGGCTGAGCTGGCTTGAACACACAGCCGAGCCTCGACTTTGTTTTCTTGCCAGTTGTTCCGCATGTGCTCTAAACTCAGCCCCGACAACTGGGCAGCACTGGCTGGTGCAGTCAGAGCTAAGCCCTAATTTCTCACTCCGCAACCCAGAGGATACTTCCTTCCATCCTCTCTGCCCTGGTATTAGTTCCTGTACCTTGGTCTAGAACTGGGTAACAAATCCCACACCCGGTGGACTAGATGCCCACTCCCAGCATGCTTTGCACTAGGAATCTAGTTACAGTTTCAGCTCAGCCACACCCAGTTTCTCATCTGTAAAAGGAGCACTTGAGAGGCTGAGGCAGGAGGATTGCCACAGCTGCAGGAATGTGCCCCCACACCTGGCTTTGCTCCCCTCCTATAGTATAGTCCGCTCTCCTCTGCCTCAGAAGCTGACCTCTCTCTCTCTCTTCCAGTCCTGAGACCTCCTGGCAGCCGCCTTATGACAGGAAGGACTGAAATGTCTCAAAGACCTGTGGTCCTTCCTCGATGCTCCTGCGGCCACCAAGTCAGGCCAGAGATCGCCTCTGTGAGGGGGTGTGCCTCCCCAGAATCCACCTGTGCACACACCCTGCCCTGCCCTTCTGCCCCCTTCCTCACCTCTCCCTGAATTCCTCTGTGTCTCCCACCTACCTACCCTTTAGCCTTGGTTTCCCTTCTGCAGCTCAGACTGCCAAATGTTCCCAGTTGAATAAAAGTTGGATGAGGCAACTTAAGGCAGAAGCAGTTTATTTTGGTCACAGTTCTGGGTCACAGTTCATCCTGGCAGGGAAGCCAGCATAGCAGGAGCTTGAAGAGGCTGGCCGCATTGATTCTGCTGTCGGGAAGCAGAGATGGGGCTGGGGAATCGGCTCAGCAGGCGAAGGCCCTTCCTGCCAAGACTGACAGCTGAGCTCCTTCCTTGGGACCCACATGGTGGAAGGAGAGAACCAGCTGCAGCTTATCCTCTGACCTCGGTGCCTGCTTTGGCAAATACTCTGGAGAGTGCACGCATGCATGAGCACACACACAGACAAGTAATAAACAGAGTGACACTTGGGAGGCAGAGGCAGCCAGATCTCTGAGTTTGTGGCCAGCCTGGTCTACAAGAGCAAGTTCCAGGACAGCTCTGGCTGTTACAGAGAGAAACCCTGTCTCGGAAAAAAATAAAATAAAATAAAAACAAATCAGAGTGACCCTCCTGTTTAGCTCATATAGTCGAAAGTACCGTGTTCAGGAAATGGTTTCACTCATAGTCAGCTGCAGAGCCATCTCTCAGTGGCTTCTCTTTCCAGAGGACCCTGGGTTCAGTTCCCAGCCCCCACACTGTGACCCACAACCAGCTGTAACTTCAGTTCTAGAGGATCTGGTCGGCCTCTTCAGGCATGCATAGTGCACATGCATGCAGGCAAAACACCTATATATATTGAGACATGGTTTCTCTGAGTAACTGTCCTGGAACTTGCTCTGTAGACCAAGCTGGCCTCCAACTCGGAGATCTGCCTGTCTCTGCCTTCTAAATGCTGGGATTAAAGGCGTGTGCCACCACTGCCCAGCATTTAGATGGTAATTAAATGCCCAGCATTGCCGGGCGGTGGTGGCGCAGGCCTTTAATCCCAGTACTTGGGAGGCAGAGGCAGGTGGATCTTTGTGAGTTCGAGGCCAGCCTGGTCTACAAGTGCTAGTTCCAGGACAGGCTCCAAAGCCTGTCTCGAAAAACCAAAACCAAAAAAAAAAAAAATGCCCAGCATTTAGATGGTAATTCCCCCATCTCCTTTTTTTTCCTCCATTTTTGTAGAGCTCGCAGACAACAGGCTGGCCTTGAACTTTCTATGTTGCAAAGGACGACCCTTTGAAGTCGAATCCTGCCTCCACCTCCTGGATGCTCAGACTTCACCGGCATCTGTCACTGTTCCCCCCACTCCCAGTATGTCATTAACGTTGATAGCTACGCAATACTTCATCAGACAGATACCTGCTGCGTTTTGTCTACCATTCACCTATTGTGACTTTATGAGCACGTATTTATCTAACTAAACACCCAAGTTCGGTTCTTTTGGTATGGACCAAGGCCTTGAATTGCTGGGTCAGTAATCTCATCCTCCCATGGCAAAGGTCACATGAGGACACTTGTATTAATTTACTTCCTCCTGAATTGAGGAACTTGGTCCTTCAGCTCAGAAAGGGCAAGGGACTGGAAAAGTTTGTGTCCAAAAACGATCTCCTTAGTACCCATGCAAAAAGCTAGTTGTCATTGTGTGGTCCTGTACCTCTAACTCCGGATCTGGAGAAGGGAAGATCTCTGGGGCCAACAAGTACAGCTGAATCACCCAGTCCACGTTCTGATGGTCTCAAAAAGCAAGGCAGATAGCTGGCAAGATGGTTCAGTGTGTAAAGGGGACTGCTGCAAAGCCTGAAGACATGAACACCTTCCCCAGAGCCCATAAGGTAGAAGGATGAACTTGTAGCCTTTCTGGACTCCTTGAGAACACACGGTGGTGGTGGCACACACCTTCATTTCCAGGACCGTGAGGCAGAGGCAGGGGGATCTCTGAGCTGGAGGCCAGCCTGGCCTACAGAGTAAGTTCCAGGACAGTCAGGGCTCTGCCGAAAAACCCTGTTTCCAAAAGCAAAAACAAAAGTATACTAAAACCTGAGCCCTCACAGTGCCCACTTGTGGCCATGCCTGGGAACTGCTCCTTAGCTGTTGGCACCACCGAGCTAAGCAACCAGTCTTTCCCACCATCTCCAGGTTGCCTGTTCCAGAAGGCTGAGCAATGGGAATCATGCAGTCCATAGCCTTTTCAGACTTCAGGCAACAGGTTTACTCCAGGCATGGTTCAGGCCTGTAATCTCAGCTACCCTGGTGCCTGAATGGTCAAGACCCTAAGTTCAAAGCTGACATGGGGTCACAGGCTAATTGTCACAACATAGTAAAAAGTATTGGGGAATCTAGCCATCTGGCTTGGTGTAGAATACCTCCGTTATTCCAGAAAGTTCTTTTGGGAAGCATTTGCCTAGATCTCCCCCCTACACCACCACACCAGACAGGGTTTCTCTGTAGCTTTGGAGCCTGTCCTGGAAATAGCTCTTGTAGACCAGGCTGGCCTCAAAAACTCACAGAGATCCTGCCTCTGCCTTCCCAGTGCTGGGATTAAAGACGAGCACTACCACCACCTGGCTTAACCATATTTTTTTTACACTTTTATTTTTTAAAAACAATTTTTTTTTTATTTTATATACCAATCTCAGTACCTTCTCCCTCCCCTCCTCCTCTCCGCATTACACTCCCCATCCATTCCTCAGAAAGGGTGAACCTCTCATGGGGAGTCAGCAGAGTCTGTCACATCACTGGAGGCAGGAGCAAGGCCCTCTCCCTGTATCTAGGCTGAGCAAGGTATCCCTCCATAGGGAATGGGATCCAAAAAGCCAGTTCTAGGGATAAATACTAGTTCCACTGCTAGAGGCCCCACAAACTGCCCAAGCCACACAACTATCACCCACACTGAGAGGGCCTTACTTCTAACTTTTTTTAATTTAAAATTTGCTTTATGGGCTGAGTGGTGGTGGTGCACGCCACATTTGGGAGGCAGAGGCAAGTGGATCTCTGAGTTCGAGACCAACCTGGTCTACAAGAGCTAGTTCCAGGACAGCTAGGGTCGCTACACAGAAGAAACCCTGTTTTGAAAAAACAAAACAAGACAAACAAACAAACAAATGTGCCTGGGTAGTGGTGACACTTGGGAGGCAGAGACAGGCAGATCTCTTTGAATTTGAGGCCAGCCTGGTCTACAGAGTGAGTTCCAGGACAGGCTCCAAAGCGACTCTGTCTTGGGGGGGGGGGGGAAGAAAAGTAAACCAAGCAAATAAACAAAAAATGTGTTTTATGTGTATGAGTGTTTTGTCTGCATGTATATCTGTGTAACATGTACATTCCTGGTGTCTGCTGAGGTCAGAAAAGGGTGTCAGATCCCCTGGGACTAGAGTTAGACAGTTCATCAAAACAAAAAACAAAGAAGCAAAAATGCCCTGCCGTGATTGCAAAAGCCTTTAATCTCAGCATTCGGGGAGGCAGAGGCAGGTGGATCTCTGTGAGTTCCAGTTCAGCCTGTTCTACAGAGTTTCAGGACAGTTAGGGTTATATAGAGAACCCTGTCTCAAAAAAAAAAAAAAAAAAAAAAAACCCCAAAAACCCAACCAAAGGAAGAAACAAAAAAATATGGGCACCATCTCTCCAGCCGCTCTGTCTTCAGGTTTTTTTTTTTTGCTGTTGTTTGTTTTTGCCATGAAAAAAAGGGTTGTAAGATGGGTCAGTGCTTTCTGCAGAGCCTGGAGACTTGTGTTCCTTCCCCAGAGCCAACACAAACGTGAAGAGAGCTGATGTCCTCTGACCTTCATGTATGTTCTGGCTCCTGTGTGCCCTACACCCCAACAACACACACACACAAAGACGATAACTAAAAATATCTTAAAAAGAGTACTCTGGGCCTAGAGGGATGGCTCAGCTGTTAAAGGCTAGGCTCACAATCAAAAATATGAGTTTGGTTCCCAGTACCCATGGCTGTCCCTCCAGGTTTAAAAAAAAAAAGAAAAAAAAAAGAGTACTCTGACCTCTGGGTTCTGTCCATAGCACTGTAAACATAAAACAATGCCAAATTTAAGCAGAAAGAAAAACCAAGGGACTCTCTAGCCTTCTGACCTGGCTGGCCTGTAGGATCTCTTCATGTCTCTGAGCAGATCTCGGAGTTTGTCGGGTCATATACGCGCTTTATGCAAGCCGTCTGTGCCTACTCTCTTTCTCCAGTAGCCTGACATGTGTCTGCCCACACCAGGCCTAATGCTGTCCTCCCCAATCCCTCGTTTCCCGCTGAGGCCAGTATGGATTTAGAGGATTTAGAGTTTGCTAAATGGGACCAGAATGGATCAAAGAACCAGCTGTGGGGAGATGGGGCCGGGATGGCCACTAGGGGGCAGCAGAGACTCTCCAGAGCCTCTTTCTCGAGGTCACTGGACAAAGGGATATATGGTCTCACCAAGACTGAAGCAGCAAGCACAGGGCCTGTAAGGGTCTGCACTAGGTCCTTTGCTGGTATAGCTACTTAGTATTTTTTTATGAGACTCCTGAGTGTGAGAGTGAGTGGGTCTCTGATTCTTGTGTCAACCCTCCTCTTGAGCTGCAGCATCCAACTGCTATGAGAGTTTTTTACTTTATCTTAAATTTTGTCATGTTTGTTACCTCTTAGAAGTCTGTTTTTGTTTGCTTACTCTTTTGTGTTGGTCCCCCCCACCCCCGCAAGGTCCCCCAGGGAGGGTTTCTCTGGTTGTCCTAGAACTCCTTCTGTAGAGATCCGCCAGCCTCTGCCTTTGAGTCCTGGGATTAAAGGCCACCACCGCCCAGCTGAAGCCTGTTTTTTTCTAATGAGAGCCAGAAAAGGAGTGGTTTTTGGGGAGAGAGGAGATGGAGAGCAACTGGAAGGTGTAGAGAGAGGGGAAACTAAAATCAGAATATATCATGTGAGAAAATAATATATTCTTTCTTCCCCGAGACAGGATGTCACTGCATAGCTCTGACTGTCCTAGAATTTTGAGAGCATGTCCCTTAGACAGAGTGGAGGCCAGGGCAGAGGAGAGCCTAAGGCCACCTACTGTTCACAGCTGTAGGTGTTTAAGAGGCTGGGAAGATGAGAGACATGAAGGGCTGTCACACCATCTGTTGCTGTGTCCCTATGGCCCCTTTCAGTTCTTTTACCAGGCTGAGATTTTGCAGACATTGGCTGGGCTCTAAGAGGATTGGGCTCGGTGATGAGTTAAGCTAGGTCAAGGCCAAGGATATGTGCTACCTGGCCATCCAGCTAGAGGCTACTGAGAAAGGAGAAAGCGGGGAATCAGGCATCAGAATGGCCCGGTGAAGCAAAGTGTGAGGTTGCATGTCTGTGCCCCCAGAACAACCGAGGCTGAGGCAGGAAGACTGCCTTGAATTCAGCTGTAGTCTGGACTGCTTAGCAGAACCTCATCCCCATCCCACCCCCGCCAATTTTAGACCAATAGGGGACTAGGGACCAAAGAGGTCTCTGGTAGTGGCGGTAGTGGGGGAACAGCCTTAGCCAGATGGTGGGAGGACAAGCCCCAATTTATCACAATTAGTTTTTTTTCTCCCCCCGCCCCAGACAGGGTTTCTCTGTAGCTTTGAAGCCTGTCCTGTAACTAGCTCTTGTAGACCAGGTTGGCCTTGAACTCAGAGATCCTTCACCTTGCTTCTGAAGGTCTTGCTCCATGTTACCTTTAGCCTGAGCTGGTTGATGTTGGTGAAGCCAGTAGCGTCAATGGGGTTGTAATTTTCCCTGCTCGTTCATGCTCTCTAGCTCTTTGCTGTGCAGTGGGAATTCTTGGTTGAGGATGTATGCCTGCCTTTGAGGACAGATGCCTGGCAGTGTAGTGACAAACACCCAGAAACCTGTGTACACTGCCAATGAGGTCTAGGCCCTGCTTGGGCTTTCATGGCTGCCTGGTGAGGGATGGATGCAGCCTTCACCCCCTCAAGCTGGGGTTTTTTACCTGTTTGTGGGCTATGCAGGGTGTGCTGAGAGGTAAGGACCTTCTCTCTCTCTTTTAATTTCTTTTTTTAAAAAAATATTTATTTATTTATTATGTATACAATATTCTTGTCTGTGTGTCTGCCTGCAGGCCAGAAGAGGGCATCAGATCTCATTACAGATGGTTGTGAGCCACCACGTGGTTGCTGGGAATTGAACTCAGGACCTTTGGAAGAGCAGGCAATGCTCTTAACTGCTGAGCCATCTCTCCAGCCCCTCTCTTTTTAATTTCTTATTTTTAAGCTATTTTTTTTAGTGTCCATGGTTTCCCCTTCCTCTTCTCCTCCCAGGACTTCCCCTTCCCCACATCCGGTTTTCCCCAGATCCACTCCTCCTCCTTTCCCTTCAGGAAAGGGTAGGCCTCCCAGGGACATCAACCAAACATGGCAGAACAAGTTATAATAAAGTTAGGCACATCATATTAAGGGTGGATGAGACACCCTGAAGGGGGAAAAGGGAAGGACCTTCTCTTAATTAGGCATGGTGGGCACAGCTTTAATCTCAGCACTCAGGAGACAGGCAGAAAAATCTCCGAATGAGTTTCAGGATAGCCAGGGCTACACACAGAAACCCTGTGTAGAAGAAAAAAAAAAAAACAAAAACAAAACAGAAAAGAAAAAGAATTCAAGATCATCTAGCTCTATAAGAACCTTTCTCTTGAAGAAATTGAAATGACGTTAGGGGCCCGGAAGATGGCTCCACATCTCCGATCAACTCAATAGTTGAATGTGTACTAGTACTTTTGCAGAGGACTCAAATTTGGTTCCCAGAATTAGACAACTGACAGCAGGCTGTTGTAGAACTTAGCTAACCGTGATAAACTTAATAGGAGCAGACCACCCAAGGGAAGCTCTTTACTTCCAACCATTTTCACCTGCCAACTTAAGACCTAATGGATGCCCGAGTCTCAGTTTACCCTGAAGCAATACCTGGTTGCCTGGAAGAGCCACAAACTGAGATTATCCAGGCACTACCCAAGAACAGACCCTCCAAAGGAAATGCCTAACGTTCCATAGGATCACCTTTCAGCACACACTCACCAGGACGCCCCTAAACAAATGTCAGCCAATCAGGGGTCATGAACCTTAGAAATCCCTCACCCCCACTTTTACTTCTATAAAAACCCAACTCTGAGTTCGGGGCACTCTGATTATTCGAGTATGTTGGACACACGGAGAGACCGAGTCGAGAAACTTGTATAAAATAAAGGCTCTTTGCTTTTACATATGGGACTCGGTCTCTTTGTTGGTTTTTTGGAGGACTTCGTGGATCTGGGCCTAACACATATAACTTCAGCTCCAGGGGCTGCAGCAGTGTCTTCTGAAGATATTTGTGCACACACACAAAGACACAAATTCTTGAGACCTACCATGCACTCAGATAGGTGGATTTTCTGTGTTCTGAGATAGCTTGGTCTACAGAGACCTGCTTCCCCACATCTCAAAAGCAAAATCCCCAAGTTTCCTACACCTCAAGTTTCACCCTTTGTTCTCTACGTCTCCTTGACAATTGCATGTTTTCTGTATTGTCCCTACCAAGGGGCCCTTAGTAAGCAGCCCTGTCACACTGTATCTGTGCCCAACCCACACAACCTGTCACATGTCCCTCCAAATCACCGCTAATGCACCATGTGGCTTAAGAGGATTGAGTATTTGCTAAAACAGACCACGGGTAAAAAAACCAACCCACTGGAGATTCTGGGTCTAGGATAGCCATTCAGGACGGCAGAAGAATGGTGACAGAGAGGGACCCAGGGCCCTGACAGTGGTGCAGAGAAACCAGGAACTCAGACTAGACCAGAGACAGAGATTCAGACAATGGTGAGGAGAAAACCCCATTGTTATTCTCTGATCTCCACGATAAAGTGTGGGCTTGCGTTCCGCCCAAACACACACAGAACCACCACAGGGCCAGTTTATCACTTTTGCCACTACCTGGAAAGACTTTTTTACTTTGAATGTTTTGCTCTCATGTATGTATGTGCACCAGGTGAAGGCATCCATTCAGTTGAGGATGGTTGTGGGCGCTGGGAATAAAAGCGTGCACCACCATGCCCAGCTGTTTTGTAGTATTTTTAATCCCAGCCCCAGGCTTTGGATCTAGTCTCTGAGAGCCACCCGGGCTAACAAAACCACAAGGTGGGAAAACAGAAAGCAAAACACTAGCCCAAGACACCCACTCACAATCTGCAATCCATTCCAGGCTATTAAAATACCCAGGCTAGGCTAAGGAATAAGATGCGATTGAGAAAAGTCATTGTCATTTTAATTTCTATGAATAGCTTCATTATCAATCTAACACAGACATGAAAGTCCAACAGCCCCCTCAACAAGAACCCCCAAAATGGGCGTGGATTAATGAGGCTGTCATCCCCAGATACCAGAGTGAGTGGTAAGGCAAAGCAGGACATTCTCAGAAATCATCTGTGTTTTGGTACCCAGAAGAGAGTCTGAGCTTCTTCAAGGCTTCCAAAGCTTCGGAGAGTCCGGGGCTGTTTTGGGAAGACTCCTTGTCTTGACAGGACGCACTGCTGATGTGAGGCTTCACTGTGCGAGGTAATACCATCACTCTGCACCAACTGCTCTCTCGTGACTTGTACACACCTTGCCTTAGCTGCCTTCTGTGGGTCATGTACCTCTGAAAATCCAGGCTAAATCGCCCCGAGGAATTGATGGGAATGAGCCTGCACCAACAGCTTGGTGGCCGGCAACCCCCAGCTTTGTTGGAAGCACAGGGATAAGGGTTACGGCGGACAGGCTTCCATAGTAGCCAAGCAGAGCAAAGGCACATCTTCTGCTTCAAGGAACGCTGGGTGAACCAAGTCTGCAGGGAGGAAAGGTATACAAAAAACAAAACAAAAAACAAGGGAAGGATCACCTTGTGCTCCGCATTCCCTCAGGTTTGTACTATAGGGGAAGTGATGCGGCTTAATCCAGGACCCAGAGGGAGGCCAGAGGAATACTGATGGGCCTTGAGGGCAGAACCTACCAACTAGGGGTTCAGTCTACTTGAGTACATAGAGAGGCCCTAGGTGGTTCTCAAGCTTCCTAATGCTTCAGAAGTTTACCATGTTGTGGTGATCTACAACCACGAAACTGTTATGATAGCTCATCACTGTAATTTTGCTACTGTTAAGAATTGAAATGCATGGGATGGAGAGATGGCTCAGAGGTCCGGAGATCAATTCCTAACAACCACATGGCGACTCACGACCATCTATCAGATCTGGAGACCTCAACTAGCTGCAGCATACATGCAGACAGAACACTGTATTCATAATAAATAAATAAAAGAATGGAACTGTAATCTGTGAAAGCATCCTTCAACCCCAAAAAGGTAGCGACCCACAAGTCCTGATCCAGCCTATTCAAGTGTGTGGGCCCTGCCTGGGTGGGCCCTCACCTTCCTAACACTTCAGCAATTTAATATGTGGTGGTAATCCACAATCATAAAACTTTCATGCTTGCTCATAACTGTTAAGAATCAAAATATAAGCTGGGTGGTGTTGGCATGCACCTTTAATCCCAGCACTCAGGAGGGAGAGGCAGGCGGATCTCTGTGAATTTGAGGCCAGCCTGGTCTACAAGAGCTAGTGCCAGGATAGGCGCCAAAGCTACAGTGAAACCCTGTCTTGAAAAAACCAAAAAAAAAAAAACCCAAAAATGAAATGTAAATATCTGATATCTGATATGCAAGTTGTGTGAAAGGGTTCTTCGACCCCACAGAGGTTGCAGCCCACAGGGTGAGAACCAACAGCCTAAAGGTGCTGAAAGTGGGTGGGGAATCTGACCTTAACTTGTTCCTCTGTCAGGTTGAGTCTGGCGGCCAGGACCCTTTGAGCTCCGAGGTCTGGGTGTGGGTCCATCTGGAAGTGTTTTTCCAGTTCCTGCAGCTGTTCCCAACTGTCAAGGGCATCCAGGAGAGGTGAATGAAAGGCTGAGAGAAAATGGAGAAATCTGGTCAGAGAAACCCCGTCATGGCAAGTGGAGAGTGATGGACTCACTCAGCCCTTGCTGCCAAGCCTGATACCTTGGCAGTTTTGATCCTGAGGGACCGCATGGTGGACTCACTCAGGAAAGTTATCCTCAGACCCCTACACATCCCCTGGCACAACCATACACAAAATAAGTAACTGGAAACAGAAACGACTTTTTCACAATCCGTAGCTCTAATTTTCTTCTTGGGGAGCCATTGCACCAATGAGAGGTAGACCTGCGATCCCACCGCCATCTCCCACTTTCCAGATCCACTAGTTCAACTTTCTGGGCGTCGGGATCTGAATCTTTGAAAAGGGCAGTGTGGAGAGTCCATCCCTTAATCCCCACATTTGCAGAACTGAATCAGGAGGATGGAGAATTTGATCCTGTTGCCCAAGAGTCTCAACCCCCCCCCCCCAAAAAAAAAACCACCAAAAAACAAAAACACAAAAGCTGTGTTTCTGAGTGTGGTGGCACAAGCCTGTAATTCCTGCATTTGGGAGGCATGGGCAGGTGGCTCTCTGTATTGTGACTGGCCTGGTCTACAGAGAAACCCTGCTTGGAAACACGAGTTCAAGATCATTTCCCAGGTGCCTGACTGACCTCCAGGACACCCTGTTAATTTAACTACTTAACTATTGCCTGGTGTCTCTGACTTAGCCCAGCATTCCGGGCATGCGCAGAGGAAGGCGAATTGTGGTGGGGGTGGTGTGTGTGTGTGTGTGTGTCAGAAAAAGGCGGTTCTGAGTTCGTGGATAGCCTGGTCTACAGAACCAGTTCCAGGACAGCCAAACTACAAAGAAAAACCAACCAAGCTGCAGCTACTGCGGGCTTAAAGCTGGGAAACTGAGCCTTGGTTTAGCCCTCTAGGAAGTCCCTTCGCTATGGCCAGAGAGAGACCAGTCTAGTCTCAGGCTGCCACCCCTCCTGTGCCTGGATTATCCAGCAACCTCCAGGGTTTCCCCTAGGTGCCTCAGCAGGAGGTTCTGGTGACCAGCCTGATGCAGTCTTGCTTTCTATTAAGGGCTTCTTCCAATACTGAGAGTCAACCAAGGTTCAAGGGACAGCTGCTGATGTGACCTCGCATGGGTGAACCAGTTTCTTTTGTTACTTTGAGATTATCTCTCATGCTGCCCAGAATAGCTTGAAACTTTCCAAGCACAGGGATTATAGGTCTCTGACACATGCCTGACTCTCTTTGGTGCTCTAATATAAGTAACACTGGCCACTGTCAGCCTTTCCTCTCCTGCTCTCCCACCCCCACTAATGGGGCATGCCACCACGCTCTCTGCTTCAACCCTTATTTTGTTTGTTTTTTTTTTTTTGGGGGGGACAGGGTTTCTGTATGGAGCCATAATTGTCCTGGAACTCACTTTAGAAATGACCTGCCTCTGCTCCTGTGATAAAAGGCATGTGCCACATCCACTCTGCCTCAGCCTTTATTTTATTTTTTAAAAAATATTTGTTTATTATGTATACAGTATTCTGTCTGCAGGCGAGAAGAGGACACCAGGCTTCATTACAGATGGTTGTGAGCCACCATGTGGTTGCTGGGAATTGAACTCAGGACCTTTGGAAGAGCAGGCAATGCTCTTAACCACTGAGTCATCTCTCCAGTCCTTTACTTTTGTTTTTTTGAGATAGTTGTTTCTCTGTAGCTTTTGGAACCTGTCCTGGAACTAGCTCTTTTGTCCTGGAATTAGCTCTTATAGACCAGGCTGGCCTCGAACTCAGAGATCTGCCTGCCTCTGCCTCCCGAGTGCTGGGATTAAAGGCGTGTGTCACCACCACCTGGCAACCTTTACTTTTTAAAACTGCCAGGTGAGCCCAGTGGTGGTGACACACACCTTTAATCCCGGCATCTGAGAGGTAGAGGCAGGCAGATCTCTAAGCGTTCGTGGCCAGCTTGGTCGACAAGAACTGGTTCTAGGACATCCATGGCTGCTACAAAGAGAAGCCCTGTCGTGAGAAACAAAAAAGACAGTGGGTAGCACAAGACCTTGATCCCAGAGAGTGGGGGAGGGTCTGAGTCCCAAGTCCTCCCTTTCTGAATAAGGCTCCCATAAGTCTCCGTGGAACCTATCCATGCTGCAGGGGCCGGAGAAATGTCCCACCCGACTCTCCCTCCACTTTTCAGCCCCAGGCAACCACCGTGCCTATCTGGCTTCTTCAGCCAGCACACTGAAATGGGCCGAACGATATTTCAAAATTACAGAACTTGTCTGGAAGTGGTGGCCAGTGCCGGCAATCTCAGTGCTCAGGTGTTGGAAGTTATGGGTGTTCAAGATCTCCTTCCGGCCTACATGATACCATCTCAAACACTCATCCGTTCACCTCAAAAAAAAAAAAAAAAAAAAAAAACCCAAAACAAACAACAACAACAACAAAACCCCGAAAACCAAAAAACAAGATGCAGGCACTTGGGAAGAAACTCACTCCACAGATACCAGGTTGCTGGCCAGGCCTGCTTCCCGACGCTCCCTTCCTTCCCCTTAGCTAACCAGTTGGGACTCGGAGCCTTTCTTTCAGAGCTCAAAGCGTCAAGTACCTGTTTCAGCTCCCCACACGCCATCTCACTCCTCATTCCAATTCTACAGGCAGGTCCGATTTTGAAAGAGGCCAGGCCTCTTCTGGGAGCCCAGAACATATACTTGAAACATATATTTGAAGCCCAGAATCACATACCTGACCGCTTGACGTTCAAACGTCCTTTTGAGGGCGCAGATTCACGCGGCGCAGGCCCTTCTGCCATCGGAGCTACTTCCTTCTTGGCTGCAGTTCACTTGACTTCGCTCCTCAGGTGGAGGATCTACGCTCTGAGTTTGGCTTTAAACACCTCTGCTCTGGGCCCACCCAGTTGTAGACCGCCCACCTGTAGCTCCTCCCCCTCACCTGATTGTCTGCTCTATCCCTCTTCCCCCTTCAGGGCATTGCCTTGCAGGGTTCTGTGGTCAGGAACAGCTAGCACCGCTGCTTCATCAAAGGAATTGGGAAAAACACGCAGCCTTAGCCCCATCCTCTCAGGCCTCCAAAGCCAGGGGAAAGCCCTAGTTTCACCCAGGATCATAAGAGGCATTGGGCCTCCAGCCGGCCTGTACCTTTAGGTGTCCCTCATCATTTCTTCCTGAATCTAAGTACCTCTCCTCCAAGACCGTGTCTTGGCTGCCACTTTCTCCTCACATTCTCTCCCTTGTCCTCAAGGTCATTAGGGCTGTTAGGTTATAGTCACAGGGTTCCCCTGGGGTATCTGGACTGCCCCTGGGGTATCAGGAAGCTGCCCTGCTTGGTAAATTCTCTTCAAGATTTGTTCCTGGACTAAAGATTGATGGGGGTCATAGGGACATCTGCTCCTGTCTTCTGGTGTTGGGTAAAACCACCTCCTTTGCTGGGCAGTGGTGGCGCATGCCTTTAATCCCAGCACTCAGGAGGCAGAGGCAGGCGGATCTCTGTGAGTTCGAGGCCAGCCTGATTTACAGAATGAGTTCCAGGACTATGAGAGCTACACAGTGAAACCTTGTCTCAAACAAACAAACAAAAAAACCAAACCCCCCCCCCCAAAAAAAAAACCAACAGAAAAAAAACCCACCTTCTCTTCCTTTTTTTACTTATAGCTCTGGCTGCCCTGGAACTCACTATGTATACCAGGTTGGCTTCCAACTCCCAGAGATCTACTGGCCTCTACCTCTGAAGTATTGAGATTCAAAGGTGTGCCTTTATTTATTCTGAGACAGGGTCTTTCTACATAGCCCCGACTGTTCATAGAAATCTGCACGTCTCCAACTCAAAAGGCTGTCCCAGCTTCTTGGAAGGCTGAACCTGGCTGAGTGTGACCTTGAACAACTGGTCTTTCAAGTGCTGGGAATACAGGCATGCCTAACTTCCACCAAGCCCATCTGCTGGAATGCCAGCTGTAGGCCGGGCACAGTGGAGTTCGCAGTTGCTTCAGTCACCCGTGCAGCAGAGGCAGGAAGAGCTCAGCCAGGATTGTTCCAGGCGGGGAGTCCCTGCCCTGCAGGACCCTGCTTGCTCACACAGATATGTGTGGTAAATCCTGTCTAGAGTCCACCTTTGTCCTGTGACTAAACAAGCTCTCAGGCTTCCCTAGTCTTCACGTCACTTGGGAGAAATCAAAAACCTGTTCCGCTATCACTCATATTTAGCGCAGAATAACAATTTTGACTTTATGTATATGGATGTTTTGTCTGTGTATCTGTGCGCCGAAGAGTCCAAGAATAAGAATGTAAAAATATAGATTCCCAAAATAGAAACGTAAAAAATAAAGAAATATAAGGTTGTAAGTCTAGGAGAAGGAGAACAGACTGTGAGCAGCTCTCTCAGCAGCTTGAGGATTAACTATTAGCAGTGGGCTGTTTCGCTTTACAACCCATAGCTCTGTTTACAAGACCGGAGCTTCTCTCTGCAAACTGAGAGTAGTGTTCTGGCCATCTTTGATACACGACAGAAATGGGCTGAGTTAACCTTTAGGAGATAGAGATGCGTGACCTCTGGATTAGGCACCGTCTTTGCTACTGGAAACAGGTGCCCTCAAAGGGAAGGGTGGGACTTCAGTAAACACCTCCTGAAAATACCAGGAGCAACAGTACAAGACACTGGTTTGACTAATGAACTGTGCTAATGGAGGCTGTAAAGCAAGGCAATCTGATCTGAGATTCACCTTGAGATAGTGCTATTCTGATTCATCAACCTTCTGATATTGCTAGCAGTCCCTTTTTCTGACCAATTGCTAAAAACATCTGTTTCCTTGCAATTAGTGACTTTTGCTGTAATCTCCTCTGGAACATATTTCACAATAGCTGCCTAGTTACCTATTGAACTCACTCCCCCTTAGGGTCTCCGTTGACTAACCTGCGGGGCAAGATTGTAAAAATTCTTTTGTTCAGACTTAATGCCTTAGTGCCTCTATTGTGACTATAATGGCTTAGTGCCTCTATTATAAAAAAAAAAAAATAGGTTCAGAAACTAGTGCATTTTTTTTTTTTTTGAGACAGGGTTTCTCTGTAGCTTTGAAGCCTATCCTAGAAATAGCACTTATAGACCACGCTAGCCTCGAACTCACCTGCCTCTGCTTCCCGAGTGCTGGGATTAAAGGCGTGCACCACAACCACCCAGCTCTAGCCTTTTGATGCAGCCTAACAAACACCATCTCTGGCTGTGGTCTCAGTTAACTGATAAACTTCTAGCCCCAGTGTTTTTTTATTTTTTTATTTTTAAGTTTGCTTTTGGTTTTCCTGGAATCTGGTTTCACAATAGAGTTTGCTTCTGGTTTACTAAACTTTGGTGGTCGTTCCCCATCTTTGTGTGACACTCCCCCCCACTCCAACCACATGTAAACAGAGCCCTTAAAAGCCCTAAGAGGGTGTCATAGTTGTAATGGTCTGTCCTGTCACTTTAAGAGACAAGCCCCACCCACTCCCCACCCTCTCCACCCCATCCTCAGGAGCTGTTGATTCCAATTTCAAACTATGTGGGCGTGGGTGTTGAGTGTTAAACCTGGGTTTTGGAAGAGCAGCGGCTGCGCCTCTAAACTATCTTTATTTATTTATTTATTTATCTTTTCTTTTTTTTCCTGGTTTTTTTTTTATTGATATTTATTGAGCTCTACATTTTTCTCTGCTCCCCTCCCTGCCTCTCCCCTCTCCCCTTCAATCTTCCCCAAGGTCACCATGCCCCTAATTTACTCAGGAGATCTTGTTTTTTTTATACTTTCTACTTCCCATGTAGATTAGATCTATGTAAGTCTCTCTTAGTGTCCTCTTTGTTGTCTAAGTTCTCTGGGATTGTGGTTTGTAGGCTGGCTTTCTTTGCTTTATGTTTAAAAACCACCTATGAGTGAGTACATGTGATAATTGTCTTTCTGTGTCTGGGTTACCTCACTCAAATAATGTTTTCTAGCTCCGTCCATTTTCCTGCAAAATTCAAGATGTCGTCATTATTTTCTGCTGTGTAGTACTCCATTGTGTAGATGTACCACATTTTCCTTATTCATTCTTCAGTCAAGGGGCATTTAGGTTGTTTCCAGGTTCTGACTATGACAAACAAAGCTGCTCTGAACATAGTTGAGCACATGTCCTTGTGGCACGATTGAGCATCCTTTGGATATATACCCAAAAGTGGTATTCCTGGGTCTTGAGGAAGGTTGTTTCCTAATTTTCTGAGAAATCGCCACACTGACATCCAAAGGGGCTGTACCAGCTTGCATTCCTACCAGCAATGCAGAAGTGTTCCCTTTCTCCCATAACCTCTCCAGCATAAGTTGTCATCAGTGTTTTTGATCTTGACCATTCTTACAGGTGTAAGATGGAATCTCAGAGTTGTTTTGATTTGCATTTCTCTGATAACTAAGGATGTTGAACATTTCCTTAAGTGTCTTTCAGCCATTTTAGATTCCACTGTTGAGAGTTCTCTGTTTAGGTCTATACTTCATTTTTTATCAGATTATGTGATCTTTTGGTGTTCAATTTCTTGAGTTCTTTGTATATTTTGGAGATGAGACCTCTGTCTGATGTGGGGTTAGTGAAGATCTTTTCCCATTCTGTAGGCTGTCATTCTGTCTTGTTGACGATGTCCTTTGCTTTACAGAAGCTTTTCAGTTTCAGTAGGTCCCATTTATTAATTGTTTCTCTCAGTGTCTGTGCTGCTAGGGTTCTTTCTATTTAGGATGTGGTTCCCTGTGCCAATGTGTTCAAGTGTACTTCCCACTTTCTTTTCTATAAGATTCAATGTGGCTGACTTTTTGTTGAGGTCTTCGATACATTTGGACTTGAGTTTTGTGCATGGTGATAGATATGGGTCTATTTTCATTTTTCTACTTGTTGATATTCAGTTATGCCAGCACCACTTGTTAAATATGCTTTCTTTTTTCCATTTGATATTTTTTACTTCTTTATTAAAGATCGCATGTTTGAAAATGTGTGAATTGATATACGGTTCTGCTATTCAGTCCCATTGGTCCTCCTGTCTGTTCTTATGCCAGTACCAGGTTGTTTTCACTACTGTAGCTCTGTAGTAGAGCTTGAAGTCAGGGATTGTAATGCCTCCAGAAGTTCTTTTATTGTACAGGATTGTTTTGGCTATCCTGTTTTTTTTGCTTTTCCAAATGAAGTTGAGTACCGTTCTTTCAAGATCTTTGAAGAATTCTGCTGGGCATTGTGTTGAATCTGTAGATTGCTTTGATAGGATTGCCATTTTTACTATGTTAATCCATGGGATATCTTTCCACTTTCTGATGTCTTCTTCAATTTCTTTCTTCAAAGATTTAAAGTTCTTGTCATACAAGTCTTCCACTTGTTTGGTTAGGATTACTCTAAGATATTTTATGCTATTTGTGGCTATTGAGAAGGGTGTTGATTCTCTGATTTCTTCCCAAGCCCTTTTATCATGTGTGTACAGGAGGGTTACTGATTTTTTTGAGTTAATCTTGTATCCTGCTACATTGCTGAAAGTGTTTATGAGGTGTAGAAGTCCTGATGGAATTTTTGGGATCATTTTGTAAACTATCATATCATTAACAAACAGTAAGAATTTGACTTCTTCTTTTCCAATTTGTATCTCCTTGATCTCCCTTTGGTGTCTTATTGCTCCAGCTAGGACCTCAAGAACTATATTGAATAGATATGGAGAGAGTGGACAACCTTGTCTTCTTCCTGATTTCAGTGGACTCACTGGGAGTGTCTCACATTTTAAGTTTTTTTTTTTTTGAGACAGGGTGTCTCTGTGTCTCTGAGCTTTAGAGCCTGTACTGGAACTAGCTCTTGTAGACAGTAGACAGGCTG